TGGAGTAATGATGCTGAAAAGTTTTAATCAAATAAGTGCAGCCTTGGTGAGCATACGTTTATTTATTTCATTATTTGTTTACTTATTTGTTTCTTTATTTATTTTACTTTTTGATAAGTCATTTCTACCAGATATTTCTAACGTGACTGAATAAGATTTATCACATACCTGATCAGATAAAATTTTAAGCTTCGCTTTATTTAATATTTTGTTAAATTGCACAAGACTATCAGTGCTATCTTATTAGAAAGTAGCTATCTGATTAAATGAGCTCCATTTAACTTTTAAACTGTTTATTTTATTGGATTGTTTTTCTGTTTTTTGCATTTTCTAACTGAAGTAAAGGGCAACACATTTTAACTTTAATTAGACCCAGTCAGTTAGAGTAGTCAGTAGTGCAATTCAATTCATAAATGGTTTTATAATTGGCAAAAACAATGTGATATCCAAATAATCACTGAATATAAGATGGCCCTGTTCCTAACAACAAAGTCACCATCCAGAAAATCACTAAAATGTTGCTAATAGTTAGTGGTTTATTCCAAATACCTTTTAAATGTATTACCACATATTCATAAATTCCAGATTTCCAAAAGCATTTAAGGTCAAAGTTCAGTGCATGATGATAACTGTGAAGTAATCGTTTGTCTCACCTTACACGCGTCTTTTCCTCCCGCGCTGTATCCCGCACAGATCATATTCTCCGTGATGTTTCCATTAAAAGAGTCTGTGCTGTTACACACTGCGGTGGACACTATGGGCAGCTTCACCGTCTGCAGCGTTGCAGGGATTCCTCCCGTCGGAGTGGTGAAGCCCCAGCCGGACACCCTGCACACGCGACCCACGGACACCTGGGCGTCCTGCCGAGGCAGCGGCGCAAGAGACACGTAGCTGTTCAGATAGACGGGAGACTGCAGCTACAGGTGAGGAAAAGAAATCATTAATAGGATCCATAAAGCAATACCATACATGTTCATTTATTTAATCAGTAAATGTTTTCACTGGTGTCATTTCCACCACATCTCAAATCATGTTTAATAGCATTATGTGATGGAAATGGCATTTGAACTTTTTTGTCAAAGGCTAATTTCATAGCTAGCATATTTAAAATGTAAAGGTATTGTTCACACAAAAATGTAATTATCCTCTGATTTACTCACCCTCAAGCCATCCTAGGTGTATATGACATTCTTCTTTCAGCCAAACACAATCAGAGTTATATAAAAAAAATAACCTGGCTCTTCCAAGGTTTATAATGGGAGTGAACGGTGCCTTGTTTTTTGAATCCCAAAAAAAGCGCATCCATCATAAACGTAATCCATACGTGAAGCGAAGCGATGTGTTTTTGTGAGAAAAATATCCATAATTATAACTTAATAAACTGTAATCACGAGCTTCCTGTAAAATCCGCCTGCGCGTTCACAAGAGAGTCGTGTTCTGGCGTAAAATGTATGATGTAGGAGTAGCGTAAGCTCAGGTGAGAGTAAACGCCTCTAGCGGTTCAAACAAATAGTGTTGGGCAACAAACTCACTCGACATTTCTCTTTAAAATTCTCGTTTTAGACTTCTAATTCATGACCGGTGTTTTGTTTTGCTCTATCCTCTGCACTTCCGCGTCCATCAATACAACATGCGCCTAACCCTAACTAGACTCGTGTATGGCCGTTACCGGAAGTCAGTGATTAATTATAGTTTATAAAGTTATAAATATGGATTTTTTTTTTCGGACAAAAACCCATCACTTCGCTTCAGAAGGCCTTTGTTAACCCTCTGGAGTCGTATGGATTACTTTTATGATGGATGGATGTACTTTTTTGGGCTTAAAAAAAAGGCTGTAAGAAGAAAGTCATATACAACTAGGATGGCTTGAGGGTGAGTAAATTATAGGATAATTTTCATTTTGGGTTGAACTAACCCTTACTTTTTGAATAATTTGACAAAATTTTGGTTTTGAAGTAATTAAACAGAGTCACAGAGAGAGACGCTGCACAGATGCAGGTAATTCACACACGTATCTCTCATTTCTCTCTCTCTCTCTCTCTCTCTCTCTCTCTCTCTCTCTCTCTCTCTCTCTCTCTCTCTCTCTCTCTCTCTCTCTCTCTCGATAATTAATTAAAATAAATGCTATAATTTATTCATTTAATGTAATCAAGTTCAAATGTAATCTAACGCACTACTTTATCTTTGTGTCTGATTTAAAGGGATAGATCACCCAAAAATGACACCCAAAAATTATCCTATGATTTACTCACCCTCAAGCCAGGTGTATATGACATTCTTCTTTCAGACGAATACAATCTGAGTTATATTAAAAGTGCTAATCAACAAAGTGCTCCACACGGCTCCGGGGGGTTAATAAAGGCCTTCTGAAGCGAATCGATGTGTTTTTGTAAGAAAAATATTCATATTTAAAACTTTATAAAGTAAAATAATTAGCTTCCGGCCAAACGAACATAAGGATTCCACTTAAGTCTCAAGCTTTAGGCGTAAGTGGAATCCATATTTTTTTACTTTATTTTACTTTATAAAGTTTTAAATTTGGATATTTTTCTTACACTAATGCACCGCTTCGCTTCAGAAGGCCTTTATTAACCCCCGGAGCCGTGTGGAGCACTTTTATCATGGATAGATGCACTTTTATGGACTTCAAAACAGGAAAACCCATTCACTGCCATTATAAAGCTTGGAACGATTGTATTCGTCTGAAAGAAGAATGTCATTTACACCTAGGATGACTTGAGGGTGAGTGAATCATGGGCTAATTTTCATTTTTGGGTGATTTGGGTGAATCCCTTTAAAGTAAATGAAAATAACCACAGACTTTAGAATGTTCGTCAACCAATCAGATTCAAGCATTCAACAGCCCAGTAGTATAAAATCGTTTAATGCACAGCTAGCCATGGATTATCACTTACTTTTGATTAATAAAAAAGATTAATACATGCTGTAGAAGTGTTGTTCAATGCTAGTTCACGTTAACATATGTAGTTAACTAATGTTTTGAAATGAAACCTTATTGTAAAGTATTACCATTTTTACTTGTACACTAAAACTGAAGCATTTATGCTATTCTGTTAATATACTAAAAATTATATAGTATAATGAATTTAAAATAAAAGTATAGAATTTTAAATATAAAACTTTAGATGTGTAAAAAAAAATGCACGCACTAATGTTGGATTACTGATTACTAAGTGATACAGTACATCACTTCATGTAATTGATGCCAGATTGTTGTGTTCATTTTGTATGCATGAAAAGAATCAATGATTCACAGTGAGTCAGTCAGTGTAACACAGGAGCATTGATTCACTGCCTCACCTTAATGAGCATGATGTCTGCGTTATTGGTGGCTCTGTTGTACTGCGGGTGAGGTATTAAAACATGAGGCCTGCGAAACTGCTCCGTCCCCTCATATATTCCCACAGAATAATCTCCAGCCACGATTCTCATGTTTGCCTCCCTGGAGACACAAACGAACACTGCTTTTTATCCAACTGAATTCAAATGCATTTTAAATGCATCGTACTATTAAGCGGCAAGTTACATCGTTGTACGGGAAACACACCCCAGATAAAGAACATTCAAAACTAACATTCCCATGATGTTTGAAGAATGATAAATTGGAATGTTCAGCATAACCAAGAAAAAAAAACGTCATTTTTAGAACATATTTTGGTACCAATCTACCAAAAGTGCCAAACTGTTGCTATGGTTCTGTTCGTTGTGCCTTCTAAGTGGCTCCAAAAGGAAATACCCACTGACTAAACTCGTATCGCATATTGAAATGCTGGTATGTAACTCATTAGTCCTGTAGCCAGTGATGCTCGTCTTACCCTATATTGCAGTGTGCTGCGGTCAGCACCCAGTATTTGTTAATTAAGGTCCCGCCACAAAAGTGCTGGCCCGTAGCGCTCTGAATGGACACGATGTACTTGATGGAGTACGGCACCGGGACGTATCCACCCACGATACGGGCCTGGACCAGATCCTGACCTGTGAAACAAACCAGGAGACACGTGATTTTGTTGACAATCTCTGTGACATTAGTCTAGATTTTCCTTTCATACAACAGAGACACGTGTGCACGTGAGGGACGCTCGGAATCTACACCTTTGTCTCGGAAAGAAAGTGTGTAACTCAAGGTTGATAAGTCAATACTTAACAATGCGGAGTAAACAATGATTTTTTCCTAAATCTGTCCACAGAAGACTATATGTGCGTCACGAATAGATGTTTGATTTGAATGAAGATGTTAGAAGTCATATCTGGTATATATATATGTTTCCCTTGGGCATATTGATCACAGTCTAACAATTAGGCTAGTTGTACGTGCAGCGGTTCAAGTAATCCTATACAATATTAGCAGCCATTGACTGGCCGTGTGAAACACATACTCGCTAGATCGAACCTATTATGTATCCTTGACTGAATGACCTCGGAGCTCACGAGGATTGGCAGCAGCGTGACCTTTATCTGATTGCTTTATGAAGCTCTCAACGTGAGGAAATCCTAAACGTTAAAGAGCACAAAGAGGTTATGTACGTCCATTGTTTGCTGTTTTATGTCGTGAAGTAGCGAAAAACAGTAAGCAATGCTGAAGTTCAATGTTTGGGGATTTGAATGACAGCTTTTGGGGATTTAAATGTCTTTGTATGTTTTTATAATTCAGCGTGCACGGGTTTTTGCAGGGATTCCAGCATCGGATGGATTGATTAATCTTTTACGTGCATTCTAAACTTTATCATTGCATTTTAGGGCTTTTTTGCGTTTGAAATGAAAAGCGATTTGCTTTGGATTTCCTTCAGTGAAGATGCACTCAGCGCAGGCTGTCAGGATGAAGGGCCCATCCATCAATGAAACTAAACTTAACTTTGTCTTCATATTTCATTTCTGTAATAAATCATAGCGCTGACAAAACCTCAGCCAGACATGCAAAAAAAAAGCTACGCAGTATTAAAAGCTGTCACTGGAAAGATCCATAAAAATATAATTTTTTTATGTTGTAGCGAATTAGAGATTTGACTATATTTCTAATAAGCATCAATGTTGTCTTTAAAACACAATAAAGCTCCGAAAATGTTGTTTTGGATGAAGTTGAGAAGAAAATCTTGAAGAAACTCATATTGCGTTCATATTGAGATGTTTTTAATGCCGACTCTGAAACTCATAAGGAGACATTTTTTTTTCTCTGGAGAAACTTCTGAGAATAAGGAGACTTAAGTAAAATATTAAATTTGCTCTCCATTACAACATGCTATGTGAGTTGACATCTTGAGTCTAAAAGATTGTGTCATCTGTCATCCATTTAATTCATTGTTTGTTTATTTATAGTTGACAACTTGAATCTAAATGACTGTAATACGCCATCTTTTTAATATTTAATTTAATTTTCAATGTTATAATTAGTGCTGGGTAACGATTAATCACGATTAATCGCATCCAAAATAAAGGTTTGTGTTTACATAATAAATTTGTGTGAACTGCGTATAATTAGTTTGTATATATAAATACACACATATGCATGTATATATTTAAGAAATATTTGCATGTATATTAATAACATTTTTCTTAAATATATACATGCATGTGTGTGTATTTATATATAGGCTACAGAAAAAATTATTATGCACAGGACACACAAACTTTTATTTTGGATGCGATTAATCGGTGCCCAGCACTAGTTATAATATTTGACATTATAAAACGTATTCAAATTATGAAAAAAACAGAGTACATTTTTCATTGGCATTTTAAAACGAAAGTTTCAAAAATCAAAATGAACAGCAAGTCGCCCAAACATCATTATAAGAAGATCCACAGTCTCTTTTCAAAGTAAAACACTTCACTTTGCTCAAGCTACCGTATCCGACCCCTCCACAATGCCGCTGTATACCCTGTTAATGCACTGAAAGGATTGTGTAGGATTGAAGTGTAAATCTTTTACTCACAGCTCACCACGAGGAGCTCCAGGAGGACACACAGCAGAAGAAGCGGCAGGTTCATACTGATGGAGACGGTAGACACAGAGACAGACACATGCACAGGTGCAGACCAGACTGAGAACAGCTTTGCTTCAGGTACTCTGATTCCACACCTGGGGAAGGATTACCACCGCATTCTCGGGTTTCCTAGTTCCTAGTTCCTATTTCCGTCTCCATGGTCACAATGTCGTCTGAGAAGGGGAACAATATATAATTGAAGCCAAACCTGCGATCTTTTGTTTTGGGTCTGATTTAGGATCAGTACAATTGCCTACGTCACATGCTAAATGCGTCATATCGCAGATTGAATTCTACGGTTGAAAGAACTGTCAGATTAACTGTACCTTCTTGTACATGTCTTTTTGATTTATATTACAAATGCAGAAGCGTTTAGTGGCCCCAGAAAGTATCTAGACACTCGAGTCACATTTAAACTGATGTCATTGCTTTAAATGTCAAAAGAGTGCTTTTCGGGACTAAATTTGAGCCATTTGTGCAACTTTTGTCTTGTTGTAGATGAGGTTTCGTTGAAATTGCGAGAATGATTTCTGATAGGCTAAAAATGGTTAAAATGTAAAAAAAAAATCTAAACAAGTGTCATCTGTTGATATTTTGATCTTTTTTTTTTTACCAATTTTTTTAATTATTATTGTTTTTGCTTTTGAACTAAACACATGAACAAATACATTTCCATGTAACAGGAAACAAGAACAAAACCCCCCCCCCAAAAAACAGCCTCTCAGTATTTTAAATTGCTATTCGATACCTCCTCTTTTCTTAGTCTTTTATTAACACCTTTCCAAGTCTACCACATTTTAAGAATGATCTGAAAGGTCCCCAAACTCCATCAAAAATGTTATATTTGTCCCTTAAAATATAAGTAATCTTTTCCATTGACATATTTGTTACCATTTCTTTTAGCCAACGTCCTATACTTGGTGCACAAATACTCTTCCAATTTAAAGAAATACGCCGTTTTGCTTGAAGGATGGATATATTTATAAATATATACTCTGTCTTTTTTAACTTGATCTCCTTAGGAAATAAATGTAATAGAAAGAGTAAAGGTGACAATGGGATGTTAACATCAAGAATCTTCTCTATCATTTCTTTCACACCTTTCCAAAATGTTTTGACTTCTTCGCACTCCCATATGCAATGATATAATGTTCCTTTAGATTCACTGCATCTTAGGCAAGTGTCAGGGACATTTTCATTATATTTATGCAGTACAACTGGAGTTATATAAATCCGCATCAACCACTTATATTGTAGCAGTTTCAGACGTGTGTTCATTGTTTGTGATTGATATTTTGATCATTTTTTAAACTAAATTCAAAATTTTTACAATTTTAAAAATTGTACATTTTTTATTTGATTTTATTCTGCTCACTTTTAGTATATTTTAAATTTCTTTCTTTTCTTTTCTATTCTATTCAAGTTCTAAATGAGATTTTGTTAAAAATGGTCAAAATGTCAAAAACAAAAGTGTCATCTGATACCAAATGATAATTTGATAATTTTCCAAGACTAAATTTGGAGCCATTTTTCCAATTACTTTTATTTTATTTTATTTTATTTTATTTTTATTTTATTTTATTTTATTTTATTTTATTTTATTTTATTTTATTTTATTTTATTTTATTTTATTTTATTTTATTTTATTTTATTTTATTTCTTTTCTTTTCTTTTCTTTTCTTTTCAATTTGTAGATGAGGTTTTGTTAAAATTGCGAGAATCATTTCCAATAGGCTGAAAGTTGTCAAAATGTTAAAAAATAAATACAAGTGTCATAATACCATGATACCAGATGATATTTTGATCATTTTCTGGAACTAAATTGAGACTTTTTACTGGTTATTTTTTATTATTTTATTTTATTTTATTATTGATTTTATTTTATATTTCTTTTCTATTCAATCAAGTTGTAGATGAGGTTTTGTTAAATTTGCGAGAATCATTTCAGATAGGCTAAAAAATGTCAAAAAATCAAAACAAGTGATACCAAATGATAATTTGATTATCATTATCATTATTGGTTATTTTATTTTAGATTTTTTTAAATCATATTTAAGGCAAGTAAACATTATATATAGTTATTTTTATACATAAAATATATTTATATTATATATTTTTACATTCTATATAAAGAAAAATTCACTCAACAAAACATTGGGGGAAAAAAAGTGGGGCCAGTAAAAATATTTACAGGCCGAGAACGAATTTGAACAATTAGACCAATTAGACCAGCAGAAAAAATCCCTAATAAGTGCTTCTGCTGGGGAATTGTGGGATTGCCCCAGATCTGGAGCACGGATCATTAAAAATGAAGGTGCGGATGAAACAGTCCTCGTCTTGTTCTCGGTGTGATCTCTGTGGCCAGTAGCTAATGATCTCTTCTGAATTTGACACAGCACAATCTACGTCTCACTTATTGTGGCTCTCTCTCTCTTCCCCACGGCTGCTTCCCCCCGGGTGCTGACCGCTCACATTCTTATGCTTGATCTCTTGTTCTGCTCTGTTAGTGCGACCACAACAGACCTATTAGCCCTCTTCCTCACCCTCCTCATCATCGTGACATGTGTGTTAGATTCACTGCTCAGAACCCTTCAGGATCCTGTCACGGTTTAATAGAGAGTTTGTGGACCGTTCAGTTGTCAGAGGACTATTAATCTTCGGTTTGCCCTTCATTAATATCTGACCTCTTAAATGGGATCATCCAGCCATACAGCTGTGACGATAACTAGGGCGGCAGTGATGTCACAGCTCTGCTGTACGTGACTCTGCTGAGATGTCCACATGGTGGGAGTGTTGGCAAGATCAACAAAACCATTTTATTTTATAGATTCCATAGTTGTGTTAACCATTTAATACAAGTTTATTGTCTTAGCAATTTGGTAAAGAATGAATCATGTAGAATAGCTTTAGATGACAAAGCTGATGACCAGTTGTAGTTATTTATTTAATTATTTTTTTTCATTTTATTTGCAAAATTATTCCAAAAAGATAAAATTCTACATAATTATGTGGAATAACTTTAGATGACGTTCACTGGAATTATCAAACTACAACTGATGACCTAGTTTAGTTTAGTTTAGTTTAGTTTAGTTGTAGATGAGGGTTTGTTAAAATTGCAAGAATCATTTCCGATTGTATTTCTATTCTATAAGTTCTATTCATTTTCAAAATGATTCCAAAACACAAAATTCTACATAATTATGTGGAATAACTTTAGATGATGTTCACTGGAATTATCAAACTACAGCTGATGACCTATTTTTTTTTTTTTTTTTACTGACCATACATAATATAAAATCAACCTCACCTTTTGTGTTAAAGAAGGAAAAATGTACAGCATTGCACACTGACTAAAACAAATTACAATATTTACTGTAAAAAAAATATATGTGCATAGTTCTATAAGCAAAGTTTCAATACTGATGTATCAAATTAACCAAATCAGACAGTATTGAGACACTCCTGAGACGACCTGATTTTATCTTCATGTTCGGTAAAGCTCCTATAATGTCGAACTTTTCCCAAGAGAGAGTCTTAAAGCAGTTCTGTACACAGCCAACCGTTGTTCTGATGAATCTCCCACAGGCTGAGTGGGTGTGAGCTGGAGGAGGAAGGATTGAACACAATAAGATGGTGTGAAGTGTTGCAGGGAAAAGCACGTTGTCAGACAAAACAAACAAAAATAAAATTGGTTAAATAAATCATAGTCTGTCTGGCTATGTGATATGCAACTCTGTAGATGCATATACAGATACAAATATATATCTGGGAAATAATGTGTTTATTATGTGCACATTTATCAGAATATAATGCATTCATTTAATGTCAGAGAGGAACTGATTCGTTTCATTTAAATCTGAGAACCATATTTAATGTCACAAATAGCAACCATCCATAGTTACTCAGTTTCAATCAAGGTATAAAATCAAAACTAGGCATGACTTCTCAGTACCATTAACTGATCATAATTTCCTCAATAACCACATTGCTTATTAAAATATAAACATTTACTTGAACAACTGCTGCTTTTATAGCACATTTTATATAGTTTTGATCTGCTAAACTGCCGACAAATAGCTTATTATAAAGATTTTTGATGTGACATGACGTGAATGTCTTGTCACATTATACTTTCTTTGATGTGTTTTGATTTCAGTTTCAAGGACTTCTAGTATGTTTATCATCGTTTCCTGTTTCCTTTGTTTCATTTTCCCGCTCAATGGCTGCGTCCTAAATCGCATACTCTCTTGAGAAGGTACTTTTCTGAAGTAATTACTTCACGACCGTTAAAGAGTGCATCCTGTATAGTATGAGTGTTTGTAGTATCAATGTAATCCGGACTAAGTAAATTCGCCTTGTTGTCATTATCATGTGACCTACCAGCGTCAGTCGCTTCACTGCCATTCATAAATCGTCTCCCGTGGCCTCATGGGATAGGAAAGTGTCCATCGTATGCACACTTCAGAATCTCCCCGGAAGTAGTATCATCCGGCCGGGTACTTTCCACTGAGTGCAGTGAATTCGAACATACATCTTTTTCTGTTTTTCGCCTACTATACACTCACCTAAAGGATTATTAGGAACACCATACTAATACTGTGTTTGACCCCCTTTCGCCTTCAGAACTGCCTTAATTCTACGTGGCATTGATTCAACAAGGTGCTGAAAGCATTCTTTAGAAATGTTGGCCCATATTGATAGGATAGCATCTTGCAGTTGATGGAGATTTGTGGGATGAACATCCAGGGCACGAAGCTCCCGTTCCACCACATCCCAAAGATGCTTTATTGGGTTGAGATCTGGTGACTGTGGGGGCCATTTTAGTACAGTGAACTCATTGTCATGTTCAAGAAACCAATTTGAAATGATTCGAGCTTTGTGACATGGTGCATTATCCTGCTGGAAGTAGTCATCAGAGGATGGGTACATGGTGGCCATAAAGGGATGGATATGGTCAGAAACAATGCTCAGGTAGGCCGTGGCATTTAAACAATGCCCAATTGGCACTAAGGGGCCTAAAGTGTGCCAAGAAAATATCCCCCAGACCATTACACCACCACCACCAGCCTGCACAGTGGTAACAAGGCATGATGGATCCATGTTCTCATTCTGTTTACGCCAAATTCTGACTCTACCATCTGAATGTCTCAACAGAAATCGAGACTCATTAGACCAGGCAACATTTTTCCAGTCTTCAACTGTCCAAATTTGGTGAGCTCTTGCAAATTGTAGCCTCTTTTTCCTATTTGTAGTGGAGATGAGTGGTACCCGGTGGGGTCTTCTGCTTTTGTAGCCCATCCGCCTCAACGTTGTGCGTGTTGTGGCTTCACAAATGCTTTGCTGCATACCTCGGTTGTAACGAGTGGTTATTTCAGTCAAAGTTGCTCTTCTATCAGCTTGAATCAGTCGGCCCATTCTCCTCTGACCTCTAGCATCAACAAGGCATTTTCGCCCACAGGACCGCCGCATACTGGATGTTTTTCCCTTTTCACACCATTCTTTGTAAACCCTAGAAATGGTTGTGCGTGAAAATCCCAGTAACTGAGCAGATTGTGAAATACTCAGACCGGCCCGTCTGGCACCAACAACCATGCCACGCTCAAAATTGCTTAAATCACCTTTCTTTCCCATTCTGACATTCAGTTTGGAGTTCAGGAGATTGTCTTGACCAGGACCACACCCCTAAATGCATTGAAGCAACTGCCATGTGATTGGTTGATTAGATAATTGCATTAATGAGAAATTGAACAGGTGTTCCTAATAATCCTTTAGGTGAGTGTATAGTTGGGAAGTATGCGATTTCGGATGCAGCCTTTCTTTGTTACTATGGTTATTGATTGGATTGGATATATATGAAGTACTACCACCTGTTCACGTTTAGTTCGTTATCCTTGTGTATTTAATGCTGCGTTCCAGGCAGGTTTTTGAGCACGTAAATCACGACTTCAAACCACGACTCACGACTTTGTAGCATTCCAGGCCAGTCACGCCAAACTACCTGAGCGCAATATACATACTTATTTTTTCAGACACAAAACATTGTAATACATAATCGTGTGTCTATATACATACTTATTGTTTCAGACACATAACATTGTCATACATAATCTTGTGTGTATTATTATCATTATTATTATATTATTATGAATTTGACTGCAACGTTATATTGTCCTAAAGTGTATTCTCACTGTGTACCGCCTGCAGAAACACTGCATCCGTAGGGGTTGCCATTGTTGTTTTGTATGGTTTTGCGGGCTATGTGACGTCAGAACTCGTAACTGGGAGTACATCGATCTAGTACGAGTTCACGGGTGGGAAGTCACGGGTTTGACTGCCGTTCCAGTGCACTTTCACGGGTATAAGGTTGGAAAAACACGGGTTACAGGTTGCCTGGAACGCGGCATAAGTCCCTCAGTTTGTTCTGTTTCTATTTGGTGTTTGTCCCCTGCTGTTTCTTTGAGTTTGCTCGTATTGGATTACCTGACTTTACATTGTTTAATAAATACACAGCACTTCCATCAAGCCTGTGCATCTCATGTTCTTCATTAGACTCAAAGGGATAGTTCACCCAAAAATGAAATTTCTGTCATCATTTACTCACCCTCATGTTGTTCCAAACCTGTATGAGTTTCTTTCTTCTGTTGAACACAAAAGAAGATATTTTAAAGAATGTCAGTAACCAAACAGTTGACAGTGGCCATTGACTTCCATAGAATTTTTTTTCATACTATGTAAGTCAATGGCTACCATCAACTGTTTGGTTACCAACATTTTTCAAAATATCTTGTTTTGTGTAGAAAAAACAACTTGAGGGTAAATGATGACAAAATGCTCATTTTTGGGTGAACTATCCCTTTAAAACTTGACAGGTCTTTAGCTCCAAATCATTTGTAATGTTGAACAATTTCAGGCTCCGATTTTGACAGTCACATGTAACTTCAGAGAAAAATGATGAAAAACAACTCATTCACTTTAAAACATGTCTTTCCGACCATGTAACTCAAGCTTGCAATATTTTGAAACTCTTTTCGATTGACAACACCCACACAGTACTTCTATTTAACGCTGCCATTGAAATGACTGAACAGGGTGTTGTTCCACAACACCAGCACACAATAAGTGATCATAAAGAGCGTTGAATCAGATATGCATGACACTGAGGGACATCTTTGTCAGGTACTAGGTCAGTATCTCTTATACTGTGGGATAAACGTACAATTTGTTGTTTCACATGGATATGGTGTCATTATAAAAGCTTTAAGAGAACATAAATCAGCAGTTGGAGGTCATTCAAGGCTTGAGAGGTGAGGAATTATCACTGGTGAGTCTTCAGATATTTTATTTAAATTTCCTTCTCGTCACGTATGTGTAATAGGCATTCGAGTATCTTGTAATACAGTAATCAACCGATCTCGTGATTAGATATTTGTTCTGCACTCTTGAACTGTATCAGGTTGCTATTGTACAGTTTTGAAGGATGCAAGCAGACATGAATTCTAAGCATTGAGAGACTCGTTTTCATTTATTACAGGCTTTCACCATTTTTTACTTGTGTTTCGGATGCTTTTTTCTCGTTACAGTGCTGAAAAAATGGCTCAGTTATTGTGGGTATTTCTTGTGCTCGCTGTAACGGTCAGAGGTAAGCAATTCAATTCTTCATTAAATAGCAGTTATTTGACTCCATATGCCATTGTATGCACACTTTTAAGTCAAATGAATCTAAGTCTGATCCACATTAGTAATTTCAGTAGCATTCAATATGAAGTCATGATTTGAAAAAATGCACATTAATAATCACATATAAATGTGTATAATCCTAAACAAGCTAAAATCGAGTGGTAACATGGTATGTGGGTCAATGGTTTTCTGATTGGGCATTTTAACACGATCTAATCTATGAATATTCTTATACAATTATGGATATCTCATGTTCTTTATCTTGACTAGATATATTACCACAAAGGATCATCGGGGGTCAAGAGGTCGTGCCTTACTCCATCAAGTACCAGGCGTCTCTTCAGGTTGACAGGAAGCATTTTTGTGGAGGAACCCTCATTCAGCCGCAGTGGGTGGTGACTGCTGGCCACTGCTGGAGACCGTACGTACTGCAACATGTCAACACGCTCGCTTCACTGACACACAGTTACTCAAAAGCTTTTAAAACAACAATTCATTATGAAGTTATTTCATGCAAAAAGTAGACCTTTGTTTTCTGGCATTTGGATCCACAGGGCCAGTGTGATTCAGGTGGTGCTGAGTGAGCACAGTCTCGCTGTAGAAGAGGGATTTGAGCAAGTGTATAACGCCTCCAGAGTCTACATTCATTTTGCCTACAATCCAAAAACTTTTAACAATGACATCTTGCTCATTAAGGTGAGAAACATAGTAACAAATACTAGAAACTACTGATACTGAAACTGTGTCTCGTATACAAATGCTGACTCAAGAGGAATGCTGCTACAGAAATTATTTTTTGTTTGTTTGATAATTTCTCCAATATCCCTGTTTAATCTGCAATGATTGATTGAGACCTGTATTTTTAACAACCTCGTATTATAATTAGTGCTGTCAAATCGATTAATCGTGATTAATCGCATCTAACAGAAGTCTTTGTTTACATAATATATGTGTGTGTGTATATATTATTATATATATGTCTGTGAGTGTGTGTGTGTTGTGTGTGTATAGTGTCTATACACACGCACACACACACACACACATATATATATATATATGTATGCAGACACGCACACACACACACACACACACACACACACACACACACACACACACACACACACACACACACACACACACACACACACACACACACACACACACACACACACACTGTATTTATCCAAACAGTTTCCAAATACAGAAGAGTCTTTCAAAATATTGCTCTTTTTGTTTGAGCAGCTTCTGGCTCCACCAGAACCAATGACGTGAGCGGGACGGGACTATCTGTTTGTTTGCCCAATGTCAGATGGGGAGAGTGTTTTTAGGGAAACCTGTTTGGAAACTGTCATTATATTTGCAATTTCTGCCGAAATTACACACCTGACATGAAGACATCTTCTTTATGTTTCCCCAGCTCAGTGTTCCAGCTCAGATTAACGCTAATGTCCAGCCGGCCCCACTGCCAACCATAGACACACCTGATTTAGTCGGAGGAATCAGCTGCACCGTGAGCGGATGGGGAGTGACACGACTCTACAGCTTCTATCTGTCACCGATTCTGCGTGCGGTGGATGTGGAGATCATCCCCAACTGCCAATACTACTACTACTACAGAGTCAACGACAACATGATCTGCGCAGGCTCGCGCTTCGGGGGGAAAGACTCCTGCCAGGTGATCAGAGTGCAAATCTCATTTACACAACACCAGTGTGTGTGCAACAGTGCCAGTCCACTTTTACATCTGAAAAAAGTGTAGAGCATTTACATCATTAGCATGCTCCATTGGAGTGGGCCGATGCTAAAAAGTTCATTTGGCGTGATTTGCTTGCTTCGACTCTCTGATTGGTGGAGATTTCTCTGCAGAATCATGGGTAATGTATTTGTTCACCAGGAATTCTGCTTTTAAACAAATAAGTAAAAGATAGGGTGAAGTTATGCAGGTTGATGATGGCTAATACAATCGAATAACAACCTCATAGCCCACAGTGTCTGTTTTTTAAAAGTTATTGTTAAAAATCAATTCCACTATGGAGAAAATAAATGAGATTTTTCCTTGCAGAATTTGACTCTATTGCACAAATAATGACAGAAGCCCATCGAGGCCATGGACTATTACACAAAAGAAAAAAGTTGATTTCTTGTTTTCTTAATAACTTTAGCATAATTAGTGTATCGAGAAATTAATAATAATAATAATATTATTAATAATTATTAATAATAAACAAAAATTACTTTGGCAATTCTCTTTGGTGCAGTGTTATTTTAGTATCATTGAGAGATACTAGTTTTTATTTGATTTTTAGTTATTCTTTAGTAAAGTTTTTTTTAAATGTCTATATAACTTTATTCTATTTATTTGTATTTATTTTCTTTATCGAATTTTGTTCTATTTAACAGTGTTTATCTATGTTCTGCACACGAGTCTCCCAACGAGAGATTTTGTAAATTGTGTTTTGTAAATAAGTGTGTTTAATAATTAAAAAATAATAATAATAAAAAAAATAGCTTTATTCATTTTTATTTCAGTTTTAGATGAAAATAAAAATGAGAAATGTTGCAACTAGCTGAAATAAAATAAGTTTTTTATATATATTATTTCAGTGAACTTTTTTATATTTATTTCAAGCAACAACAACACATTTTAATGGTTTTATTTTTAGTTTCAGTTAATAACCCTGATTTGGTGCAATGAAAATTACACTATTTTAGCGACAATTTAAAGGGATAGTTCACTTTGAAATAAATTTTTGGTATGTTTTAGCTTACCTCAAGGGCATCCAAGATGTAGGTGTCTTTGTTTCCGCAGAAGTTTCAATTTTGATATTTTTAGGTCAAACCGTTCTTGTCTGCCAGTCATATAATGCAGGTCTATGGTCACCACCTCAAAGAGCATGCACAGAGAAGTCCAAATTAAACATGATTTAATGACTCGTAAATGTAAGTACACATTGATGGCCTAAGACACGAAACGAGCGGTTTGTGTGAGAAAACGAACAGTATTTATATCGTTTTTACCTCTTGTAACGCACAGACCGAAGCGCCCGCGCCCTCAGATCATTTGGACGTGGCTGTGTTTACAAGAGGTAAAAACGATATAAACACTGTTCGTTTTCTCACACAAACCGCTCGTTTCGTGTCTTAGGCCATCAATGTGTACTGACATTTACGAGTCATTAAATCATGTTTAATTTGGACTTCTCTGTGCATGCTCTTTGAGGTGGTGACCATAGACCTGCATTATATGACTGGCAGACAAGAACGGTTTGACCTAAAAATATCAAAATTGAAACTACTGCGGAAACAAAGACACCTACATCTTGGATGCCCTTGAGGTATGCTAAAACATATAAAAAATGTATTTCAAAGTGAACTATCCCTTTAAGCCAGGGTTGTTCAAATCTGTTCTGAGCTCTTCCTGAATTTAGTTTGACCCCTCACACACACCTGCTTTGTCACGGAAATCTCCAGTTTCCCTAATTTCTGATAGCACACAATCCCTCCCAAGGGTCCCGCCCGGTTTCTTTGAAAAGGGAATTCTGGGAATAAGGGTGCGGTCAACTTCTGACAATTCAGGGAGATGTTAGATGTTCTCTGATATGATACAGCTTTTCAGGGCTTTATGTTCAGACTCTTTATGTTCAAATCAAGGTGTGATATCTGTATGAACTTACTGTAGGTACACAATAGATAATATCTATAGCTTTGCAAGTAACAAAGAAAAACTAAAAACTACAGAATAACAAACTTGCAGTGGGATCCAAAAATGTGAGACCTCGGTTTAATTGGAAATAAATACTTTTTTAGTGTTTACAAATGTTGTAAACTATTTGACTTTGAAGAATGTGAAAACAGAAAAATTATAATGTACTGTATATACTATATATTCTGCTTCCATTGCATTGTTCAGTAATTACAATAATCTCTTATTGCCGTCTTTCACAGGGAGATTCAGGTGGCCCTCTCATTTGTGATGGGAATTTAGAAGGCATTGTTTCCTGGGGAATCGGCTGTGCTCTTCCGTACTATCCTGGTGTCTACACTAAAGTCAGGAACTACAACCGCTGGATCGACTGGATCATCACCTCTGAGAGCTAAAACACATGTTCAGCTGAATGTGGGAAGACTTTCCTTAAATCAGAATTAAGAAAAAGGATGTCATGTAACAATAAATGCTACTTCAAGTACTGATCCATTCACATTATTCCATCCAGAATCCAGAGGTTTATAGAGTAACATGCGTATTTTGGACTTTTTAAAAGCATTAAATGCTTAAGATTTACAGTATGTTATGGCCCTTTTTCATTTATATTGCTGTTTTAAAGTAACACAACTGATTGAATTTGTTTCTCATTTCTCTTTTGATCTAAAAGCTTTTGCTCAATAGTTCACTTAAAAGTTCTGTCATCATTTACTCACCCTCAAGTTGTTTCAAACCTGTATGAGTTTCTTTCTTCTGCTGAACACAAAAGAAGATATTTTGGTAACACTTTACAATACGGGTGCACTAATAAGCATTAACTCATGCTTAACTAATGCACAGATAAAACTGAATTAATGTGTAACTAATGATTATCTAAGCTATTCATTAATGATCTTTAATGATCTCATAATGAAAGTCTGTAAGTTTATTTTAATGTATTAGTTCATACATGAATTGTTATTAATTAAATATGTAATTGTGGATTAATTCCCTAATAACTCATTTTTTTAACTAATAGTGTTAATTAATATATTAATTACCAGAATGAGCCAAAGCCTTGTATTTCAACTTCCAGATAATACAGGTACACAAATATGCATTAATACATGATTAATTACTTCATTGTTAGTGCAAATTCATGTGTAAATTACTACAATTACTAAATGACTAATAATGATGTGCCTCAACAAGTAAAGTCACAACATAATTATATACTTGCAAACCATTAGCTAATGATTAATTTATCATTAATGACCATCACTAGAGTTTATAAAAGCTGTTTATTAAACACTTTCCAAAAACACATTTCCATAAAATATGACGGTAACACTTTACCCATAATCATAATTACATACTTAACAATTAGTTAATAGTCATGTGCCTCAACAAGTAAAGTCATAACATAATGAAACCTTTGCAAATCATTAGCTAATGATTAATTAAAGCAGACAACTGGTAGTTGAAGTGCATAGCTTTGACTAATTGTGGTAATTAACACATTAATTTACACTATTAGTTAATAAAATATGTTATTAAGGAATTAATACACAATAATACATTGAATTAATAGCAATTCATGTATTACTTAATCTATTAATCATATAGACTCTTTATTAGTTGCTGATGCAGTAATAATTAATTAATGGTTTAGGTCTTCATGAGTCATACATTAACTCATGATTATCTGTGCATTAGTTAAACATGAATTAATGCATATTAGTGCACCCGTATAGTAAAGTGTTACCGATATTTTGAAGAATATGGGTAACCAAACAGTTGATGGACCCCATTGACTTCCATAGTATTTTATTTCTTTAGAAAGAAATTCATACAGGTTTCAAACAACTTGAGGGTGAGTAAATGATGACAGAATTTTCATTTTTAAGTGACCGATTCCTTTAAATGCTTGAATTTATAGGCAAATATAAACTGTGACTATGTATGAATGTCTTTACAAAACTTGTATCAACTTCTATCAGTACAAAGCATCCCATGATGCACCTCATGAGAGAATATCCTAAAAGAAATCCAGCTGTCGACAAGATTGATGAGACTGGCACAGTCACATTTTTAAATACATAAAGTTTACAACAAGCTCTTACTTGTGTCTTTATTGCAGTCATTTCATCATGAGTGTCTGAACTCTGGACTGAGAAAAAGGATAATCTTTACTCATACGTCTGGTTACATAGCTAAGCTTTAACTCATTTAAATATTTTCTAGTATGAGAATAAATGCTTAAACCACATGTGTTATTTATGATGTAAAGCGTGCTCTGTGTAATGATTGTCAGAACGGTGCAATGCAGCCCTGTTTGTGGAAATCTGCCTATATCCCCACAGGGGGGAATGTATATATGACTAAAGTAAATGGGAATTTTGCAAGCAATTGTTCAATATCCATAGACAATGTTCACAGAATTACTCCACACTAAGAGTCAAAGAGTCATTGCATCACTAATTGCCTCCTTTAACGGTCTCTCTCTCTCTCTCTCTCTCTCTCTCTCTCTCTCTCTCTCTCTCTCTCTCTCTCTCTCTCTCTCTCTCTCTCTCTCTCTCTCTCTCTCTCTCTCTCTCTCTCTCTCTCTCTCTCTCTCTCTCTCTCTCTCTCTCTCTCTCTCTCACACACACACACACACACACGCACACATACACAAACACATTAACTTGTGACTTGAAGCCATCCAGTGCCTGTCTTCTGAAACAGAGTCTCCAGTCAGCAGAGTTATGAATAGCTTGAGCCCACAAGCGCTTGTTCAGAAATCTCTGGAAGCCAGAAATCGGGCGTACTGTCCCTACAGCAAGTTCAGGGTTGGAGCAGCTGTCTTAACAAGCAATGGAAGCGTGTTCACAGGTGGGACTCTCTTATACACTTCTAAAAGATAAGTGTAGTTATATATTGAAAGCTACAAATACATGTAGACCATTCAAAAATATACATATTTAATTTGCATATGCTAAATGGATGCTCCAAAAGGAAACCAGGCAATATGAGACATGTATAAATCAAGATTACATCTCTGTTTTTTCATGGTTCATCAGTATGTGGTGATGTTCTGTTAACAGGTTGTAATGTAGAGAATGCGTGCTACACTGCTGGATTGTGTGCTGAGAGGACTGCTATCTCAAAAGCTGTGTCTGAGGGACATACCATCTTCAAAGCCATCGCAATTGCCAGGTGTTTTGATATATTTGATATATTGGCTGAAGTATAAGTACATACTGTTGAGTTATATTCCTGGTGTACATTGTTTTGTGCAGTGACCTTGAAGATCGGGTTATTTCTCCATGTGGAGGCTGCAGACAGTTCATGAGAGAGGTTAGTTCTTCTAAAAATGAAAGATTACACTTTATTTTAAGGTGTCTGTGTTACAGTGTAATTATGCATTAAAGTACTGCGTAATAATAAACTACATGCACTTACTATAGGGTTAGGATCGGGGTTTGGTTTAGCGTTAGTTGCATGTAATTATACATGATTGATAGTTATTACTACAATAACTACGCTAAAAAAGTAGCATAAATGTTAAGTTCTATCAACTTGTTATTTCAACTTTAATTACATTAAGCTGACTTAAATGTCTTGTTTATCTTTTAAAAAGTTGAAAAAAAAATAATAATTTAGCTTATTTTGATGAGTTTAATGCAATGTAAAAACATTGTTGTCATAACTTATTGATCTCTTTTTTTTTTACAGTGTACATGTAACGTGTAAAATGGACACTATAAAATAAAGTGTTACCAAATAAAATCATTGATAATTGTCATTGTAATTATTATTACTATAACTGACAAAGACATAAAAACCACAGTTACTCTGTGGCATGCAAAAGCAAGTCATCAATCAGAACATGCCCGAAACAAGAATCAACTTGTGAAGTTTAGGTGTGGCTTAGAACAAAAAACACAAAATTGCATTCATTAGAATATTGCAATAGAGTAATGCACAAATAATTTTTCACCTTTCAGTAACACTGTTAGTTAACAGACTGGATATGTTTTTTTGCAGTTCGGCTCACAGTGGGACGTTTATCTTGCAAAATCTGATGGATCTTACATACTGATGACAGTGGAGGAGCTCCTGCCATGTTCATTTGGCCCCGAAGACCTGGAAGCAAAACCATAGACTGATGGCTTTAAGAAACAAAGCTGAAATTATGATGCCATGTTACAAAGCAAATGTGTAGGATAGATAGATTTATAATGTATTGAATGTATGTATGGTTCTATTATTTCGCAATGAAAACATACAGTAAATGTGTAAACTAATAATACATTCTGAACTGTTGTGTGGTTAATAATTGACTTGTCAAGATTTTTCGTACTTTTATTTTAAAATACATGCCACCTGGGCTTTTATTGTGAAATACGTGACTACTGACTTCTATTTTGAAAATTGGTCGCCGACCAATCAGCATTACATAAACACTGTCCTTGAGAGATAATGCAGGGAGAAGTAAAGGGGACCTAGTTGTTTTTTCTGTCAACGCGAAATTTAGTTGTTTATTTGACTAAAAATGTCAGTGAAACATGCTCTCGGTCGGGGGTTGGAGCTGGCGAGGTCAGTTTTCCAGCTGGGTCTCTTCAAACCAGCCGGCCGTGTGGCAGCGAAGTTCCGCGGTGAGCGACTGCGTGTGTCCCGGCCGACCCGCACCGTTCAGCCGCAGACCTTCTTGCCTGGCCGGTACCGCTTCTTCCGCCGGTCTCTCAGCGGGCTGGCCGCCCAGCTCCAGTCCGGCGCTTTTAGGAGAGTGATTGGGGGTGTTTCACCCAGGAACAGGACTGTTTTCCTGGCTTTTGGGGTGGGTTTAACGCTGATTGAACAGCAGTTGGAGGAGGACAGGACAAGCATTGCTGTGTGTCAGAAGATACAGGTCATCCCATAAGAACACAACACTGACTGTATATCAATGATGATGATGATGATTAACGGAGCATTCCTGTAGCTCAAACAGTAGAACATGGTTATGGGTTTGATTCCCAGGGAATGCATGAACTGAAAAAATATATTATTTGAATGCAATTGTGTGTGTGTGTTATATTAATCCTCTGGTACTGTTCGCTGGTCGGTCAAAAATGAACTTTTTTTTATTATTTCAATGAAATGATTGTTCTATATTTGAGTTAGATAATGTTTTTTATATAATAATATATATATATATATATAATATATATATATATTTTTTTTATGGTCCATCCATGTAATCCATTATAATTTGTCTGCAAGTGCATGCATTTCTTAGGAATACAACTTCTCCATTCTATTTTTTTTTTTAAATCTGGAAAAATTATCATTCTACAAAAACATTGCAAGTGTGTTTCAACTGCAATTACATTTTTATTTACATGTTCATTTGAATTATTTCTCACAATGTAGACCGTATTCACTAAGACGAAGTTCCAGAGCCCACTGAAGGCCTTTACCTCAGGGTACAAGTTGGAGGACTATGTCACTGGGAAACAGATCGGGAAAGGTTGCAGTGCAGCCGTGTATGAGGCAGCGGCTCCGTTCGCGGCCCCTGCGGAGAGAGAGAAGTGTTCACTGGTGGACCTGAACCAGAAGGAAACTGGCAAGAAAGCAGGGCCGTTCCCTGCTACACCCAGCTTTCCTTTAGCTATGAAAATGATGTGGAACATTGGGGTGAGATGTTACAGCATTTTAGCATTATTAATTTTATTTTGCAAATAGAATGCATGGTCCTTCTCCAAAAATTAGCATATTGTGATAAAGTTCATTATTTTCCATAATGTAATGATAAAAATTAAACTTTCATATATTTTAGATTCATTGCACACCAACTCAAATATTTCAGGTCTTTTATTGTTTTAATACTGATGATTTTGGCATAGAGCTTATGAAAACCCCAAATTCCTGTCTAAAAAAATTAGCATATCATGAAAAGGGTCTCTAAACAAGCTATTAACCTAATCATCTGAATCAACTAATTAACTCTAAACACCTGCAAAAGATTCCTGAGGCTTTTAAAAACTCCCAGCCTGTTTCATTACTCAAAAACTGCAATCATGGGTAAGACTGCCGACCTGACTGCTGTCCAGAAGGCCATCATTGACACCCTTAAGCAAGAGGGTAAGACAGAAAGAAATTTCTGAACAAATAGGCTGTTCCCAGAGTGCTGTATCAAGGCACCTCAGTGGGAAGTCTGTGGGAAGGAAAAACTGTGGCAAAAAACGCTGCACAACGAGAAGAGGTGACCGGACCCTGAGGAAGTTTGTGGAGAAGGACCGATTCCAGACCTTGGGGGACCTGCGGAAGCAGTGGACTGAGTCTGGAGTAGAAACATCCAGAGCCACCGTGCACAGGCGTGTGCAGGAAATGGGCTACAGGTGCCGCATTCCCCAGGTCAAGCCACTTTTGAACCAGAAACAGCGGCAGAAGCGCCTGACCTGGGCTACAGAGAAGCAGCACTGGACTGTTGCTCAGTTTTGCATGTCATTCGGAAATCAAGGTGCCAGAGTCTGGAGGAAGACTGGGGAGAAGGAAATGCCAAAATGCCTGAAGTCCAGTGTCAAGTACCCACAGTCAGTGATGGTCTGGGGTGCCATGTCAGCTGCTGGTGTTGGTGCACTGTGTTTTATCAAGGGCAGGGTCAATGCAGCTAGCTATCAGGAGATTTTGGAGCACTTCATGCTTCCATCTGCTAAAAAAGCTTTAAGATTTAATTTTTCAGCACGACCTGGCACCTGCTCACAGTGCCAAAACCACTGGTAAATGGTTTACTGACCATGGTATTACTGTGCTCAATTGGCCTGCCAACTCTCCTGACCTAAACCCCATAGAGAATCTGTGGGATATTGTGAAGAGAAAGTTGAGAGACGCAAGACCCAACACTCTGGATGAGCTTAAGGCTGCCATCGAAGCATCCTGGGCCTCCATAACACCTCAGCCTCCATGCAGTCATTTCTGCAAAAGGATTCCCGACCATGTATTGACTATTGAGTGCATAACTGAACATAATTATTTGAAGGTTGACTTTGTTTTGTTTTGTAATAAAAACACTTCTTTTATTGGTCGGATGAAATATGCTAATTTTTTGAGACAGGAATTTTGGGTTTTCATGAGCTCTATGCCAAAATCATCAGTATTAAAACAATAAAAGACCTGAAATATTTCAGTTGGTGTGCAATGAATCTAAAATATATGAAAGTTTAATTTTTATCATTACATTATGGAAAATAATTAACTTTATCACAATATGCTAATTTTTTGAGAAGGACCTGTATATATTTTGTGTGGAATACATATACATAGAGTATTCCAGAATACATCAACAAGTTTTTATTAGAAAAACAGACTGAACATTTGATACTGTCCTGTAGGCTAGTTCATCAAGTGACGCCATCCTTCGCTCTATGTCTATGGAGTTGGTTCCTGCATGTCCACGTGCCTTATCCAAAGAGCAAGAAGAGATTGCTTTGGATGGGTGAGTTTGTATGTGAACTTTAGCAGTACAACATGGCCTTAAAATACACTGAATCATTGCCAGTGGCTTTGCTATTTTTACAGGCACTTTGGAACAGTGCCTAAACGGCTGACCGCTCATCCCAACGTGATCACAGTGTACCGGGCCTTCACCGGGGAGGTCCCGCTGCTGCCTAGAGCTCAGGAGGAGTACCCTGCTGTCCTGCCTGCCCGACTCAATCCACTGGGTTTGGGCAGGAATCGAACACTGTTCCTGGTCATGAAGAAGTGAGGAAGCACTCTGCTAATAAAATAAAAATAAAAAAGTAATAATAATTCATTAGAATAGCAATAAATATGCTATTCTTTTTATTTATAGTTTTATTTATTTATTTATTATAAAAAAATATATTTATTATGAAATTATGGTAAATAAACATAATACAAATAAAAAAAAAAAATCATTAATAATAATTAATAAAAAAAATTATATTTAAGTATAAAAATATTATTATAAAAAGTATAATAAATAACAAATAAGAATTGTAGTAATAATTATATGTAAATATTATACAATTATTATGAAAATAAGTCAAATAAATAACAATACATTATAATTGATAATAATAATGAATACAATTATTAATAGTTATATTTATTTTCATAAAAATGTTTATAAAAAATAAATGAAACAACAATGAATGATAGCAGTAATAATTATATTTATCATAAAAATAAAAAATAAATACTAGTAATAGTATTTAATGAAATTATACAATTATTATATTAATAATTAATCATTAATAATAATTATTATTATATTTATTATACGTATGCATTATTAAAATAATAAATAAGTATATTTAATGTTTATATTAATATTATAGAAATAATGATTATTTTATATATTATTTATATATTATTATTATTTATAATATTGATTTATTATCAAATGTTATTTTATTTATATGAAATTTATATATGAAATTTATTTATTTATAAAAATATATAAATAAATAAATTATATATATATATATATATAAAAAGATCCAGTGAGATACAAGTTTTTGCAGGCCTTTAGACTCATTTTCTGATGGTCATTTTTTTATCTGATAAATCTCTTGATGCGCCTGTGCTGTAGTTACCCATACACACTGCGGCAGTACCTGAAGGTGTGTGAGCCAAACCAGATGCAGGCCTCTCTCATGTTGCTGCAGCTGCTGGAAGGGGTGGACCACCTGTGCAGACAGGGCATCGCTCACAGAGACCTCAAATCGGACAATGTGCTCCTGGAATATGACAGCAGTAAGAGTCTCAAGACATTGCAGACAGTTTTTATACCAATGTAGACTTGCAGTATTGTGCCAGCGTTAGGTAAATGCTTCAATCATGCTGTTACATGTTTTTATATATTGTAAAGCCGGGTGTCCCAGACTGGTGATCACTGACTTTGGGTGCTGTCTGGCAGAGGATTTGGGCCTCCAACTGCCCTTCGACACCAACTTGGTCAACAGAGGGGGAAACTCCTGTCTGATGGCACCTGAGGTGAGAAACTTCAGGAATTACTCTGGAAACATGACGTGTCAGCTAAGATGTCTCTTACGCTCACGCTCTTATTTGATCAAAAATGCATGATATACTGTATATCGGTAATTATGCTAACTTTACTTGATCTTCTAGGTGGCCACAGCAGTCCCAGGTCGAGGGGTGACGATTGATTACAGTAAAGCAGATGTCTGGGCCGTCGGGGCGATTGCCTATGAGCTCTTCGGTCAGCCAAACCCCTTCTACAGCTCACAGGGGCTGGAGAGCCGCAGTTATCAGGAAAGACAACTCCCTCCACTTCCTGCTGCTGTTCCTGCTGATGTCCAGCTAGTAGTGAAGCTCCTGCTACACAGAAACACTCGCAAGGTATAACCGTCACCACTACACAGTACCACATATACTGGCCAAAGACAGTGGGTCAAATAAAAATATTATGAAAATATTCAAAAATAATGCTTTTGAATAATATTTTTTTAAGTTTTACAAAACATGGTAAATATCAACAAAAAAAATTACTATATATATATATATATATACACACACATGTGATTTCAGAGGGGTTCACGTACATTGGAGAAAAACTTAATGGTCCTAAAATGTAATATATAATTTTGACCTGTGTGTATATATAATTAATTTAAGCAAATATTATTTTGAAATATGACCCGTGTTTTTCTGTCTTCTGTCTGTCTTCATTCAGATCACAAGACAAATTTGCATAAATATTTTTTTATATTAAATATTTTATTATTATAACTATTAATAGTAATCTTTTATTGTTAGAACTTAGAACATTATGATCTTGTAGTTTTTGGTTTCTAAAAGCAAAAATAAAAGGTAACTAAAATAATTTCTGCGTATCAGTTATTTGATTGTAACAATATCGGTCATAAAATGGTATTTTGAAATGTATAGAAAACTCATCATCACTTCAGACTTGACTAAGAACTCTGACCTAGAGGATAAACCTGGTCATTACCTGATTTCTGTAGCACATTTAAGTAATATTTTCTTCACTCGTTTCCAGCGCCCCAGTGCACGTGTGGCCGCTAACATGCTTCACATCAGCCTGTGGGGCAAGCGTGTCTTGGCCAGCTTGGATCGGGCCAGAATGGATAAAATGATCGACTGGCTGCTGTGTCAGTCTGCTGTGGTTCTCCTGAAGAGTCGTGGACCCAGCGGAAGCTCTGTGGAAACTGAACTCCAGAGATCCTTCCTCGCCAACATAGACCTGGAGGACGTCCGCACCGCTGTCAGCTTCCTCATGTATGGACAAGAGCAGGGGCAATCTCTGCTCATGCACTACCCTGAACTATAGTGTGTGTGTGTTTACTGTAGAAACAAGCACAGCTGATTACAAAGTGAGTGATCATTTTTCCAAGCTGTTCCTTTCATTTCTCTCTGTAGACTGTGAAAGCACTTTAACTTTTATGTCTATATCACAGTCAGACATATTTTGAAATTATGGCAATTTATGCATTTGCACTTTTCACTATATATAAGAATACTTTATGCAGTTTAGAACACTTTAGAATAACCATATCAGCATAATAACCACACTGACTCAAACCAGGTACAAACTCATGAGTTGATTGGAGAGGTTGAAAAAATGGTTGGGATTTGTGATTGTAATTTGAAAAGGAAAGGCATGTCAGAGGTGGAGCAAGTTTTTAAGTTTTGATAAGTTCACCATGACAGTCTTTTAAATAACACCTTCGGATAAATTGTACAATAAGACCAGGCATTGTGCATTAAAAGTAAGTAGAGGGACTTTTAAATGCATGTTGACTTTATAATGTATATCCTGGAAAGAAGCCAAAAAGAAGTGTATAGTATTGAAATATGTACTCTTTTGTAATGTGGTAATAAAACAGTTTGGTGATTGGTTATATTTGATGGGTTTTTAAAAGCATGTGTACATACACTGCAGTATATTATCATTGCAATATTTGCATTACTTTTGGATAAAATGGCAAAGGCATTTCCCAAGAAGCATGGGCATATTGCTCCAGTCCTCCTGGGAATTAAGTATGCACAGGCTACTACATACTGCATTCCTAGTAGGAATAGTATGGTAGTATTTAATTGCGATAACGCACACACACACACACACAGACCCAGCCTTGTATCACGCACGCCAGAGGCTAAAGTTCATTCTGAATCCCCTGAACTAATACTGACAGACACAACTCTGCATTTACCATATTTGCAAGACCTTAACCTTCAAACGGACTACTAAACTCAGTTGTTTGCACAGCAAGTTCGTTTCATGCGATGCAAAACATGTTTTCTTCAATCAAAATTGCTACTAAAACTCGAGTAGTCTTTGCTGGATCTCGAGTTTTTAAAACGTGTGCTTCTCAGAGAGTCATGAAATGGGGGAGCGTCGACGGGAATCAGAGCAGTGTGTCTTGCACACGGCGAATGTCCGGGAAAGGTTTCAATGTCCCACCGAGCGCGGAGTTTGTGGCGAGAGTCAGCGGAATCGCGACTATGTGCAAACTACCGTTTCAGGAAACAGCGGACGGGCTGGACGCGGCGTTTGTCGGGGTTCCTATTGACACCGGAACATCCAACCGTCCCGGTGCAAGGTAATACTGTACATTAATATATGATCCACAGTCATAAGTGTCGCTAAAAATCCATGTGACAGTTTTTGGGTTGTATAATTGTATATTATCATAAGGCAAGCACCCACACAAACACGTCATTTAAAAACAAACATGTGTATGTATGGGTGTGTGTGTGTGTATCGCATATTGATAGCGGCTCCCTGATGCCCGCAAATTAGTTAAAATCTCCCAAAATCTAGAGCGAGCGAGCAAGAGCGCGCATGCGAGCGCGAGACTGTGCTCCAAACCGTGTAGCGCGCGCACGGCGGAGAGGGACCGAGAGTGTGCATGTGTGCCTCATGAAGCGCATGTAAGACAGAGAGAGCATCCTGATTGGCCTGTTTCGGTAAGTCAACCAATCAATTGTCAGTGTGGGCGGGCTTTTAAGTAATACCTCCCTGTCTGGTATGTGTATACTTGTACCAAGCACACACATATATGTATACATTACACAGACATGCACGCACACACATTAATATATATATATAAATATAATAATATATTTCCAATCAAGCTTTAAAATAATGCAGAACGTGTGAAAATTTTATTTAAAAGTATGTATGATACATAGCCTTTCCACCACAGAATGCCATTAAACATAATACATCATTTGTGACGTGGAGGAAATGTTCATTATTTATTTTCCATTTTCCTAAACCTAATATCCAGTGAACACAAAACGAGTCTCTTTTACTCTGTACAGATTTGGTCCGAGGCACATCAGGGCAGAATCTTCTATGTTAAGGCCCTTTAACGGCTGGACAAGAGCGGCCCCGTACGAATCTCTAAGAGTGGCAGATATCGGTGACATTAACGTCAATCTTTTTGACCTGAAGGACACATGCAAAAAAATACGTGAGGGATACCGTAAAATTGTGGCCACAGGGTGCATCCCGCTTACACTGGGTGAGAGAGCAGTTTCAATATGCAGGAATACTCAGATCAGTGTTGAATCTACTCTAAATATGTACGTTACTTCCCCTTTTCAACTTGTCTTGGATTCCCAGGAGGTGATCACACAATTGCATACCCGATTCTTCAGGCGGTTGCTGAGAGGTTGGTGCACACTCAGCAGGCCTCCCTCCAAGTTTACATTACTAACTTACATTTAGTCTGAAATATTGCTGTTTCTGCTGTTCAGACATGGTCCAGTGGGCCTAATACATGTGGATGCCCATGCGGACACTAGTGACATGATTCTGGGGGAGAAGATTGGCCACGGGACCCCTTTCAGGCGCTGTGTGGATGAGGGTCTCCTGGACTGCAAGAGGGTCGTCCAGATCGGGCTTAGAGGGCCGAGTTATTCTCCAGATAATTATGAGTGGAGCCGAGCACAGGTATCAGGCTTTTATATATACACACACTATATATATATACAGTATATAGATGGGCATATTGTATTAGTATTATTTTATATTATAATGTAAGGGGTATACAGTCAAAGACCCAGAACCAGATATGAAGAATGAAGACCCGGAGTCAGAATTATACAAAATTAAAGGAAAGTTTTACTGAAGATAGTTTGCAGTTTCATCAGCAGAAGTCAGCTTCAAGACTCACACAGGAGTTCGTAGGCCGCCTCGCTTACAGTTACAAAGATCACAGCAGTTATACCATTTCCAAGGTCTAAGCTACGTCATTGTTTACAGGTTGAATGATTCTCATTGGCTAAGAAATAGATAATCACAGTAATTTTCCACACATATACAGATAGACGGAAGCGTATCTCCATCGATTATGCAGCTGACACATTCGGACACATTCGGACACATTCGGACCCACGTCATGACCTTCCAGGTCGCAGATTTGGGTTGCTGAGCGCCAGCATGTCTCGAACAACAATTCACTCAATCTCCAATAATGCCATTGGTTCCTTAACCTGTAACCAAGAAGACTAACACACACACCGACACACAGCTTTTCCAAGGTTGGATTTGGCCAGGCTCTAACTATAAACATGAGAGTCCTCTCAAAACATCAAGATAATGCGTTCTTTCTCTCAACTTTAGTCTAACTGGAAACTAAGGCTTTAACAAAGGAATGGTCCCCTAAACTATTGGCTTCAATGACCCCTATATGTTTTTAACACATTGAAGACCTTTCTCAAACACAAAACAAGTCCCTATTTCATTTCAGGAAGCCGGGATAAATAAGCAAGCACTGTTACTGCATTCAGATATCAAATTCGGATGAAAGAATACATGAAAAGAACATTTCAGTAATCACACTGGTAACTTCTATAACAAAGTAAAATCTCACAAGCCTAGAAAAATAATTCAACTCATTGAATATTTAGAAAGAAAAATATTGATTAATACCTTGATAATAATTACTCATCATTACATATACATTGAAGCAGCAGTGGATTCCAATCCACCCCCTTCAATAATAATATACTCATATTATATATATTAAATTAATTGATTTTTTACTCTTAGTTATTATTATTGTATTAGTTAATTCATTATCATATTAATATATATATAATATTATTATATTATATCTTTTATATCATATTACTCATATTTTAAGATTTATTATTATCATATTCATATATACATATAATATTATTATATTATATATTTTACATCATATTACTCATATTTTAAGATTTATTATTATTATATTAATATATATATATATATATATTCAATTAATTAATTTATTATTTATTATTATTATATTAATATTATTTATATATAATATTTGATTTATTTAATTATTTGTTTAATTGATCAATTAACTTAATTAATATATATATATAATTGTATGCATATTTTATTGTATGTATATATATATACATGTATATATATAATAACTCTTATTATTTATTATTTAATTTATTAATTCATTAACTATTATATTCAATTATTTCTTAAATTAAGCAGATTAATTTTAACCCCCTTGATCTAGAAAGATATATATATATACACATATACGTATATATACATATTATTTATATAATATTTATTTATTTTTTGCTTCTTCCAGGGTTTCCGTGTAGTCGAGGCTGTGGAGTGCTGGCACAAATCTCTTGTCCCTCTCATGGAGGAGGTTCGCTCACAGATGGGAACCGGACCTGTCTATCTCAGCTTTGACATAGACAGTCTGGACCCTGCATACGCTCCCGGGACAGGAACGCCCGAGATTGCGGGTCTCACGCCCATTCAGGTATGTGTACCTGTCCAGGTCCACCAGAGATGCTCAATCCTGCTCCTGGAGATCTGCAACTAATCAAACTCCCTTGAACCAGCTAAAGAAGGTCTTTGGGTTCACTTGATGACAATCATACTTTTACAAGTATGCATATAAATATGACTAAAGAATGTACACTAGAAATACATAATCTGTGACAAATAAGTATCTAGGATTGATCTGCACACTTTTACATTTATGCATGGATACATATTTCGAATATCCACCGGTCCAGTAAATCCAACAGTGCATACCGGCATCTTTGAAGGACAATTATTTAACATACTGTAACTGTACTATAATTCGGGACATAGTAACCCTAATCTGACACACTATTCTGTACTGGTAATGTGTGATTGGGATGTAGCCAAGATCCCACACTCAGGTTTGAGCAGCTCTTAGACTTTGCACATCAAAGTTTAACATTAACAGTAGGTTTGCGTTTGCTTGAAGAAAAATGTTTTTTGAAATTTTGCTTTCAGGGTCTGGAAATCATCCGAGGTTGTCGAGGTCTTAATCTTGTCGGTTGTGATTTGGTTGAGGTTTCTCCACCTTATGACACCACAGGTACTGTATTACATTGGGTAAATAAGTCATTTAAGATGAAATTAATTTCATTAATGTGGAATGTTTTAATTTCTCATACTGTTTGATCTGTTTTTCATAGGAAACACTGCTTTGACTGGTGCTAACCTCCTTTTTGAGATGTTGTGTGTCCTTCCGAAAGTCAAATACTATTGATTGCTTTATTTTTGTTAAAGATGTTCGTGAAATGTCCCAGGTAATTGCACATTGTCATAAAATGTACATGATTTATGTACAAAATGGGCATTACAATTATTTTCAGCAACAAATATCTTTATTTGAAGTAGCAAAACAATGTCGTACTATCACAATTTATGATAACAATAACCCTTGATGTTTATGAATTGTGGGGTGAAATTAAATGTTTATTTTCACAAAATTATGGAAATAAAACATTTCATGTTTATTTGATATAGTTTCAAAACCATTTTCAATAGATTAATAAATAAAACGGATTATATAATAACATGATACAGTGTCAATATTTTACACCACAGACATGAAATACGTTTAGTCACACAGAGTTAATACAGTAAGCCATGAAAACTTGGCATGATTTAATGCTGACTATCTTAAATTTAAGATATTTACCAGTGCATCGCAAAACATATAATAAAATGCTAATATAGTACAATGGCACCAATACCGCATTATTAATTATAAAGTATAATGAATGTTCATTGAACACCATATGAATAAAGTAATATTACTCCGATTGCGTCAGTAATGGAAGACTTCATACAGGAGTGGATTTAACACACCCACAACTTTCTGTGCATATGTGATACATAATCAAACAAATACATTACCACTAAAACGGCCTTCCACAGCTAACATGAAATGCATAGTACAAAATACTTCCGATCAAGTGTATTATTATTTCTTCTCTACGTACTGTTGCGAATATTTTTAGACACATCTTTAATGAAAGAACGCAACTGGAAATCTGGCACTATTAGTCATTCTAATTTTTACCTGCTCATTTGTTAGCTGCACTATATAGCTGAATGTGACTGTTAAAGGTCAATAAAGAGCTTTACTTACACTATCCATCTGGTTAGAACATCTCAAAAGTTTCTTATATTTTTAGAGACACAAAAGATGATATCTTTAAATAGACATTTAATATAATCATGTAACTATTTACACCTTGTGACTGAAACGCATCTCATATTTTACAGGTATTGCTGTAAAGTCGTGCCAGTTTGTGTTAAAGTTTCTAGCACAAGTATAGGCATTTGACTGCACAACTAAATTTATAAAGCTACAGTACTTAATTTGTTGAATGTTTAAGTGGCCAATTTGAATTCTAACAAATAGAAATTAAATGTCTCAAAGTAGCCCAAGTATTTAATTTTTATTTTGGCCTAAAATACATTTTTTGGTAATTTTTGCAAGTAAAATTAGTTTTTTTAACACTTTAGTTTAAGGTTAACATCAGTTAATGCAATTAGTTACTTAGTTGATGCATTAGGCATCAAGAAAATAATAATAATAATGAATCACTATAAAATGAATCACTATAAAAACGTTCATATATGTGCTGTAAAAATGTACGTTATCCATGATCAATACATGCTGTAAAATTATTGTTTGTTTGTTATTTCATTTATTGCATTAACTAAAGTTAATGTATAAAATCTTACTGTAAAATGTAAGCAAAAAGTTACTTTCTTGATTAAAGGGGTTCAATTAAAAGGGAAAGTGTCTCTTAAAATTGTAAAACATAAAAATTCACAGCATTGTCATGAGTAAACATAGTTATGACTAAAAAGTCTACAGTGTTCATTTTGTTATGCTACTTTTTGTTAGCTATTTTAAACTAGCAGCATGTTGCAATGTTGTTTGTGGAAATGAAATGTCAAAAAATTGAAAGCTAGGATAGCTGTATCAATATTTTGGCTCTCAACCAACAACCTTTGAAATAAATACAGAAGACCCAAACTGACAGTAAACCCCTCCATTAGAGCAGCTAAAGTAAATGTCCAAGAAGTCAGAAGTGGCATCCGTTGTCGATTCAAGTACTTCATTCATTTTCCGTTCCTCCACACTGCTAAACTTAAGTAACTTCTGCAAACTCTTACGTATAATCGTCTCACGATCATCTTCACTCTGAGGAGCATCAAGTCTGGTTTCGCTGAGGGCTTTGGTGCAGCTGGGTTATTAGCTCTAGCAAAAGCATGCTAGCTTCCATGAGGCTTTATTTATTGACAGTGATCTTATCCAGACCGGGCCAGGCTGGGACGTAGTACCGGGGCAGAGTCCCTTCCATCAGTCGCTCCATCCAGAGCCCGAGTCGATCCAGTTTGTGGTGGATCTGAAGAGTTGTGGATCTGGAGCGTGTGATGCCCTTCCTGGATCGGGATCCTCCTCCTTCCTCTTCCGGCTTGCTATCCAAGTCTTCACCTGTGTAGACTGGCTTGAAAAGACACAGGTATTTCTTATGGCCATTGAGGGCTAGAACGTACCCGGTGTAATCAGCTTTGCGGCCGGACACCTCGTCCTCGTCCGTGTCGATCTGCACGGCGTCCTGAGCGTACTCCAGCACAGCAGTCATCCATTCACCGTGTTTATCCACATTCAGGAAGGAGAAGTGTAGCGTCAAACTCCTGCGAGGAAAGGGAAACATTGAGAGCGTTTAAATGTACGTTTTTAAACCGATTATGCTTTAATAATCCGACAACACGCGTGGTCATGTAAATGCATTAATCCATTTAAAAGGTCATAAACGGTTAAAGAATAAACCAATCGACACAGCTAGATTTTTGCTCATTACCCCAATTTCGCCCGGCATGTAAACACCTTCTTCTGTTGGCTTATTGAGCAAATAAATATTGTAAACAATAGGATAAAAACGACACATTATTTCCATTTATTATGTATTAAAAGGAAAGCACATACTCTCACACACACACTCGCACAGAAACGTGATGTCAGTTTCATCAAGATTTCATCAGTAAAATAGTTTAGCTATTTAAAAGCTATTTGACATTTCTCACTAGAGAGGTCATAATCACGGCGCTGTTCTTTAAGCAGATAAACTTACAGTTTCGATATTAGTAGAGACGCTGCTGCCAAACACTGTTGAGAGACGCAGACTCAGGTAATTCACACATTCACTTAATCTCTCTCTCTCTCTCACTCACTCTCTTGTAATAACTGCATTATGCCGCGTTCCAGGCAACCTGTAACCCGTGTTTTTCCAACCTTATACCCGTGAAAGTGCACTGGAACGGCAGTCAAACCCGTGACTTCCCACCCGTGAACTCGTACTAGATCGATGTACTCCCAGTTACGAGCTCTGACGTCACATAGCCCGCGAAACTATACAAAACAGCAACGGTTTGTTTACATCTAGCTACCACAATTCCTTGCGCTCAGGTAGTTTGGCGTGACTGACCTGGAATGCTACAAAGTCGTGAGTCGTAGTTTGAAGTCGTGATTTACGTGCTCAAAAACCTGCCTGGAACGCAGCATTAGTCTCTGCTATCAATGGCTCAAGCCTCCATTACTAGCTCTAAGGACGTTTTGGAATTAGCACCGCAGGATGAGAAGAAATTAGTCCTAGACACACAGCGTTTTAAGGACAAAAACCTGACAAATGTCTTGAAATACATCATCTGAACAATGTTTTGAGGTGTGGTAACTGTAGTATAAGTGGTTCTTTTTTTAGACAATGTAACTGCAAAAGTTTGGCATGTAATGAGGGCTCACCCTGTGAATGAATAAACTTCCTTGGCAAACTTGCTGAGCAGGATGTTCTTCGTGGCATCAGTAAGTACCAGAACTACATTGATGTGACCCGGCCTCAACTTCACCAGGTTACTGGTGTACGTGATGTCGGTTAACTCTGTCACCTCCACGAAGTTCTTCTTTGGTGGACGACTGCTGGAAAAAAAGTAAAGTGAAAAATAAAATGAGAAGTGATATGATAAAATAAAGTAGGAAAGCATCTATATAAAAATTCTGGCCTATAAGTAGATAATTATGTTTGTGTTATGGCTGTTATTAAAATTCGATAGTATCCAAAAAGTTTTTCATTTATTCAGGCAAAATATAATGACTACAAAATTAAAAATCAATGGTTTAAATGCTATATTGTTGTATTGGGTGATATTAAAATTTTATATTTCTTTTACAAAAGAATCTTTTTTTAGTCATTTAGATAAGTGACAAAGTGACAAATATATTGTTTTAAGTGATTTTAAGCATCACAACATTATAGAGTACAGTATGAAATGGATATTAATTTTCAAATCTGCTAAAGATTACAATGTACAATTATGTATGTGTAAAAATAAGGGAAATTAGCTTGCGTAATTAAATATCCAAAATTGAACAATATCGATAATAAAATCTTTGTCACCCAATAAACGATATGATACTTAGAAATTTTGCATTATTAAAATAGATTAAGTTCTGCAGAATGATTTATTCAAACATGATATATGAGAGAACCTGGATGTGTTGGAGGTGTTTGGTGAACCGTTCTCTGTCTTAGCGGTCTCATTTGATTTTGCTTTGGACTGTTTTTCCTCACTTGAGTCACTGAAAATGGAAACAGCGATGTTGAATGTCTCTCCATTTTCCGTCTAAAGACACACCAAAGTTAAGAAAGCAATAAATCTCACCTAAAAGCTTGAATAACTACTGTGCCAAATAAAATAAAAAGTGCAGAGAATAACAAAGACATAAGGGGCATCATCTCACGCCTGCAAAAGAAAGAAAATTAACTTTGATATAGAACATTAAATATCCAAATATTACTGAAAGACTCCACCTTAGCATGAGGGATGTTTCGTAAAGTTTATCTGAGTTAGCAATCGTAACCAAAGGGGGAGGAGCTTAGCGAAGGGTCAATTTGTGTTTTATTCTCTTACCAGTTATTGTGAAGAAGATCATCAATAATTTCAGACAAGTAGTCAAATGCCGTGTAAATCCATCTTATTAAAAACATCTGAGAATAAATAAATGTACAAAAGTTAAACTATTGTAGGACTGATACAGCAAATTCAGAACACTATTTCGACATGGATCTCTACTGAAACATTTATATAGGTCAGTGCTAATTTCTCAATTAAAGACGCTCCATGAAAAGCAAACCCTGAGAGACTCACCGAGGCGAACTCATTGTTGAGCTCTGGCAGAATGGCGTCATAGTTGAGGATGGAGGGATCCTTCTGCAGTCTTTCGAGTTCCTCCAGGAGCTTGTGTTTGTCCTCCTTACTGCCGTTCCATCCTCCCAACACTGGCTTATACAGGATCTTACCAGCTTCATTACGCCTCTCCAGAATCACCACCTGCGTAACACACACACAATCTAAGCTGCTGACTTCTATGGTCAGTGGCCAATTGTGGATTTTGCCAATATCGATGACTTTGATGGGAAAACAGGCCAATAACCAATTAACCGATTGGTCATTTTAATTAACAATAATATAAATGAAAACTTTTTATGAAAAATGTAAAGA